ATCATTTTAGATTTTTAAAGGAAATAGTTGAAAATAGTTGCAAATTATATGCTATGTTAAAGAAAAGGAGGGTTTATGTGTAAATGTTTCCACAATCAAGCATCTCTTCTTCCTTCGTCGTCCTCGTCCCAAATCGCAATTGAACCCAATCACACCAAAAGCCATCTCGCCCAATAAGTTTTAACCATTCAGGATTAAATCATTGAAGCTTTGCACATCGTCATGGACATTTGTGGCAAGAACTGAGTGTATCCTTGAATCGATTTTACACAAAATCAAATGAACCAAAAACTATGTTGCCCTATAGCTTTTAGTTGTTAATGGATTGCTAGTATATTTTCTTCGACATGTGCTCATAAACATTCCCCTTTGGTTAATAAATCAAAATCGTCAATATATGTGCTCATAAACCATTTTCGATCTCTTCAATTCATTTTCTTCAAAACCATAAAAAAACAACCGATTGGCGATGAATTTCTTGACTATTGCCCTCTATTCTACATCTCATCAAGAAGAACAATTTAATTGCTTCCTTCTTCATCATCTCGTATTCTGTTAAGAGAACGTGTACGTATAGGGGTTTTCACAATTAAACTACAACTTCATCATACAAGGGAACCAATCAACCAAAACTTGGATTCAATTATGTCCTTCGATGATAGAACATGTTTAGTTCATTTGATACTATTGAGGATTTTTATTTTTAATTGATTTCGAATAAGAAATGTGAAGGGAGATTAGGAGAGGATGGGCTCAAGCTTTGGGGCTCACAATCGCACAGATTGGGGAAGAGACACTTAAAAGAACAGTTTTTACGAGTAAATCATTTTTAGTTTTACACAAACTATTATAAACTCTCTTTTTAAAACACCATAAAAGCGCAAAGAACAAAATGATACCACGTGGGACCAACGCAGGAAATTCTCTGCACCAGTTGTCCACTAACTTTTTTATCCTTTGATTTTGCTTTAAGATTCGTGCTACACATGAAGGGTATCTTTGAGATATTTGCTTTGATTTATATCACATGCTAGAAGAAATCTCAAAGTGAAATCAATTGTTAAAAAAGTTGGTGGATAACAAGCTTCTATCTACTTAAGTTTATAGGAGCTTTACTCTCTCTATACACACACACATCACACATGTTTGTATTCATATGTCCATACCCTATATTTAACAAATTTACCATGTCTGGTACCCGTACCCATTCCTATGCAACTTAGGTTAAAACCTTGGGTTCATAGGCAAAAAGCTTTTCGACGAGTAGGTTTAAAAATTAATGAGAATACAACTTTAGGTTTGTAGGCAAAAAGCTCATTTTATGATCCCGTGACTGCAAATAAAAAAGGTAAAATATTTGGCTTAAAAACATTCTGGATATGTAGCCATAAAAAATATAGCAAAATTTTAGCAAAGCACAACTACTTGCACCATATAGAAGCTCTCACTGTATATTAAACTATTAAAATACAAGATGAGTTTAAAAGTAATTCCGTGAAGCTTTTGGGTCTAAAGTTGATTTTTGAAGTGGGTGAGTTTAAAAATAGATGGGGGTAAAGCTTTGGGTTAATTTGGCAAAAATCTGTTGAAAAGTGCGTAAGTATAAATATCTAGGGGTGAAAACTTTGGGAAGTAGGCAAGTTTACAAATATGTGGTATAGAAACTTTGGATGGAATTTTCTTTCATTCAAAGAGTGACTTTAGAAGTGAGTGGGTTGAACAATAAATGAGATAAAAACTTTGGGTTTATAGATAAAAAACTTTATTTTTTGAAGTGAATGGGTTTTAAAAAGTAAATAGAGTAAAATTTTTGGTTTGCAGAGGGGAAAAAATTCAAGTTCTGAACATTAGGAGAGTTGAACCCATGACCTGTCACAAACAAAGAAAAATCCATGCAGCTAGGCTAGGTGCCTTTTTTATGTCCATGACGCTACACACATTAAATATTAAGTTATTGGAGATGAATTGGGCCAAATACTATTCATCTCCAATAACATTAGCATATAGTATAATATAATATAATAGTGCAAACACTCTTGCAAGATGAAGTATATATGTAATACATTTTAATGAGCAGCTAGCATTCTCTTCTACTTTTATATTCATGATAACTAAGTTTTTATTTTTGAAATGTATATCCAAGTATTTTTAAGCATATATGAAAAGTGATTTTAGATGTTTTACTTTTTTAGACTTAAACTAGAAAAAATTTCTCATATCCTTCTTGAATTGCAAAGTACCATTTCTTGATGGGGGCAAATTGTAGCATGTTCAATCACTTATGTGATTTAGAGTGGCCAGGATGTAGCGAAATACAATGACAGAGAACTAAAGGAAGTTTGGAGGAAAAGCACCTTCGTTGGGTTTTTTTGACCTGAGTCCCCTAAATCATTGTTATTGCTAGTATGTCCTCCAAATCATCTAAATATGTTGAAATTACTCCCCTTAGCTATTTGGTCTTAAAACAGTGAGAGAATATTTCGTTTTGTTTGACTTTTGTGTTGCTTGGATGGTCATACCCCTCCGTTATTTACCCAAATCCACAATCCTTTAACTTGTACCTGAATACCCGTTAAAACCCCCAAACCCAAAACCTGTTTAATTAAAATCCAAACCATATACACTGATTTTCTTTTCCAACAGTCCTCTCACCCAATGCCTTTCTCACCCAATATCCGTACGTTGTTACCATCCCGTTAACCCCAAACCCCACACTCTCCGCGAAGTTGTCATCTAAGAGGAACCCCTCTGGATCATCTTCAAGCGCGATGTGGTCATTGCCCTCAAACAAGAACTCATCGTGAACAATTTTAGAACCATTAATGGAAGAGGAGTCAGTATCCATATTGTTAATGGAGCTTGCATTACAATACAATTCGTTAGCAACATTATAATACATGGGTTGCATATTCATGATTGTAAGTTGAGGGGGAATGTGATGGCGAGAAGCTCGCTGTCGTATTATGGGTGGTGGATGATGGCAGATGGGGTTTCGATCTTGGGATGAGTCATGTTTGGGTTGACCAATGCTCACTTTTGAATTGTGCGCATGGGCTTGTTGATACTATCATGGGATTAGTTGTGGTGTAGAGCAAGAGAAGTTGTGTTGAGGAGCTGGATTGGAATTGGAAAAGTGAGGGAGAGATGGAATTTTAAGGTGGGTGATAAGGTAATTATCCATCCGTAGTTAGGGTAAACCCAATCATGGCTAAGAGATATGTAGCCTGGTCAAGTGGAGGTACTAATTTCAACATATATAGATGGTCTGGCGGACCTAGTAGCAATTACAATGATTTGGGGAACTAATATCGAAATACTAAAGGTTTGAGGGACTAATATTGCAAAACCACCTCTATATATCATACCAGGCAATTCTCCAACAATGGATACACCAAAGTCAAAATGATCAGGGCCCGGGCTATGTATGAGCCAATCAACATAGCAAGTTCATGGAAAAATTGTAGGAACTCGGAAAATTTCTAATTTAGAAGTATAATAGTAAACCTAAATCTACCCGTCTATACTCAAAGGAGAATCCAAAAAATACTGTTTATACTACAATAAATGTTGTATCATAAACAGTAACCAAAACTGTTTCTCCTCGAAATTACTGCTCATGCTACAGTATTTACTCTACCACAGTATTATTGTATCATAAATAGTAAAGTAAATCAAATGGATTAAAACTTGGATCATTCTTCAAGTATAAAGGAGTAGATATGATTTCTAAATCAAATGTGTAAACAATAAACCAAACCAAAATTGGTTCTCTGCCCCCCGAAGTTACTATTTATGCTACAATATTTACTGTAGCATAAACAGTAAATCAGATCCATACTCAAAGTTATTATTTATGCTATAGTTTTTACTGTATCATAAACAGTAAAGCAAATCAAATGTATTAAAATTTGGATCCTTTTTTAAGTATAGAGGAGTAGATATGATTTCTAAATCAAATGTATTAAAACTTAGATCATTTTTTAAGTATAGAGGAGTAGATGTAATTGCTAAATTTAAGCATACAATAATTAAATAAAATGTATTAAAACTTAGAGGAAGGTAAGTTCAAAATGCAGTGCTTAAAAAAATAGGGGGCCGTGCTTTGCACAGGGTGCACATTAGTAGATACAATAGGTGAATTGAATTGTCAATGAATCGCTAGGTAATTTGTTAACCAATGAAAGTGATAAGTAATTTGTTAACCAATGAAAGTGATAAGAACCAAAGTAAGAGATAATATGCCGGTGGAGATGATGATGGATTGTTACTAGATGAGCCAGTCTCTTTCATTAGTAGCTCATGAAAATAGGTTTGGCAAGGGGGAAATTTTTAATAGCTTGAAGATCTTGAGCTAATGAAAACTAGTTTGAGCAACTTAATGGGAAAATATTAATATTTGAATATCAATAGCCAACTCTTGGGAGAGCAGGTAAAGAGAAGCAGGTGGTCCATGCTGGAAGAGACCTGAACGTGAACCTCTTTTTATTCTAAACAGGAAATTCTGAAGCATCTCTTTGATATGATTTCCTTTATCAGTTATCAGAAATGCTAAGAAATTTTGCCTTAGGCAATTTGTTAGATAGTAGCAATTTTTTTTTTTTTTGATGTTAAGAACTAAAACGTTTCTTTTGTTGTTTACATTGGTTGGGTACAAATTAACGTGGGCATTTGTTATGCACAACATGTCCTTTTGCACCCCTGTGACATAATATCATTATTTGCCAACTTGAGAATTGTCAGATAATTGAATCTATCTCAGTGACTGTTAGCATAATGAGAAACAACTTAATATATACAAAAAAAAAAAAAAAAAAAACTACT